AGTATTTGAACCTATTACCTGGGCAACTGTGGACCAGATTGCAGCCAAATTTCATCAGCACCTGCAGCTATACAAATTTGCTATTGTATTCAAACTTCATGTCAACAAGCAAACTTCAAGAGGAGCTAACAGCTAGCTAATCTCCAAAGGTACAAGCTCTGATGATGGCAACTATTTCAAAATCTTGACTCAAACTCTAAGATGGTTGGTCTAGAGCTGTCCTGTTCACTCAATCAATGATGTGGCAAAATAAGGCGCACTCCCTCCCTTACCAGTTACATCATCACTCCAAATTGAATGGCAATAAGTACCAAACCATGAAGTCGTTTTGCAATGAGAACTCCACCAAGATAAGAACAGAGTTGAAATTGCCCCAAACGTATTTTGCATTGAACCATCATAGCTACACAACAATTTATATTTTTATGGCACCTTTAATGTAGTCAAACTTCCTAAACTGCCTCACAGGGCCTAATCCAAAATCTGAAAGTATACTAATAGAGAAGACACTAGCACAGGTGATCAAAGAAGCAGAAAGATGTGAGAGACAAAGAGAGTTAGGAAGGAAGTTCTGGAGTTTAGAACTGTGACAGCTGAAAGCATGGCTACAAATGGCGGGATGACGGAAGTGGAGAATACTCTAGAGGAATGCAAAATTTTGGTGACTTGCATACTTTTTTAATCAATATATTACGACACACCTCTGGAGCAGATGGAACTTGAATTCTGACCTTTTAGCTCAGTGCAGGGATACTACCACTGCACCACAAGTGCCCTGATAGGCTAGCTTCTTTTATTGACTATAAACTTCACCATCTGCTCTGGTGGATTTGAATCCATGTCCCCAGAACGTTAGCCTGGTTCTGGATTACTAGTCCAGTACCGTTACCAGTACACCATTACAATCCTCCAAAGGGGAAGCAAAGTTGGAGATTTATGTTTGCTTGAGGCAAGAATGATTCAATTTCTTGTCCAATATTAGATGCTTAGTGCATGCCTGTGTGTAGAAAAAAAAATGTAAAAGTCTGTGGCTCCACATTCTCTCTGTCATCTGAGTTTTCCTTACCCTGTAACTGTACCTGTCTATGAAGTGTGACTAATGCATGGAATAAACTGTTGGGATACTGCTCCCTCTCCCTTATGTCTCAGCTCCTAACCAAAGTACTGTACTTCCTGAGTGATGTTCACTTAGCACTGTAGTTACATTACTGAAAAGTACAATCTTAAATGAAACAACATTCACATAATCAGCCTTTCCCATTACAGCCAATGTAAAAACATTAGTTAGATTCTGTAGAACCTATCCTGTCAGAAAAAAATGAAAACGTATACCCTGAAAGTTTAAATACTGCATCTTGCTAAATGATTAGAATTAGTTTTGTTTTCAAAAGTTAAAAAGTAATTGTATTTACTTCCTCCTCTCTTCAACCCACTGCCAATTGTGCTCCCACACTCTGCTTTCCTGTCCAGAGTCCTTATTATGAGCAAGGGCTCAGGAGGTAAGCAGCTTATGAAGTAAAAGCATGCTCAAGTTGCAGGATTCTGGATGTAAGCCACAGCTGGAGAAATGACAACCAGGTGGGTCAATGAGCAGGACAGACTGCTCAATAATGATGCTGATCAGGGCTTGCAACCCTATGCCACGGCTGGTATGACTTAAAATTGGTTGATTTAAAGAGAGCACCTGCTATGATCAAGTCTAGAATGTAGCAGGACAATTAATGTGCCAGGATGACAGCATCTGGCAGCTTATGGAAACTGAATACATCTGCACTAGGTGTCTCAAACTCTGTCAGTAATTTGGTTAAGGGCCGGAGAGGGAGGGTGGTGGGAGCAGTACCTTGACTGTTTATTCCATGCCAGCAGTCACACCTTGTAGATAGGTACAGTTACAGAATGCTGTTAGAGAGATCCAGTAGGGTAGAAATCAAGGGGAACTAAGGTGAGACACAGAATGTGAAACAACAGATACTGATACTATCCAAGAAGTACAATATACTTACTACTTGTGCAGATGAGGGTAAAGTTTGTCAAAGGTATAGCCAAAATATGGACATGGTGCTGAGGAGCAGTTTCAATAATTAGATGGATAGATAACATCCTTAGAAGCAGGGTCCAGTGTCCTTTAAGGTATATCCCATGGTTGGTACCAAAGTGAGGGGCAGCTTGAGCAGACTCAAAAGGAATATTTAAGGAGGAGGGAGAGGATCCGGTCATAATGATCTAGTGAGCAGAACTTGGAGAAGAGTAAACAAGAGGGTATTCTTCACAGGTCATTTAGAGCACACATCTTTAAAAAAAGCCTACATCAGAAGAAAAGGACTCTGGCTGATTATTCCTGAGAACATCAGAATAGGAGTAGGCATATTGGTCCTTCACATATGTTCTACCATTCACAGGCATGTCCTACAATGTAATCCAGAAGGGGTTTTCCTTCTGCAGTGATGCACTGAGAGCTGTAGCCACATTTTATTTTGTTGAATGCCCAAACCTTCAGAGTGTCTCCATGTTAAGAAAAGGTGAGGAGGGTAAGATTTATACTTCAGCTATACAGAGTACTGGTTAGGCTATACTTGGAGGATTATGACCAGCTCTGTGTGCCATACTTTAGGAAGGATTCGCTTTAGAAGAAATGCAGCATAGATTAATCAGAATGATATCTGAACTTAGAGGATTAAAAATAGAAAGAAAGAAAGATTTCACAACATAAAGGAATGATTTGATTAAGGTTTTCAAAATATGAAAGACTGCACACAGTCTAAAAATTAGAGCCACATCCTTCAGGATTAAAATTAGGAAATACTTCTATGCACAAAGGATATTAGAAGATTTGAACACTCCTATGAATACAGCATATTGATACTAAGCTTTAAAGTTGTAAATTTTGAAACTGAGGTTAACAGATTTTTGCTAACCAAAGATAGGAAGGGATACAAGGCAAAGACAGGTATATGAATTTAGATTGCAGATCAGACATATATTTGAAGGACCATACTCTTATTCTGATCATAGAATCCCTACAGTGTAGGGACAGGCCCTTTGGCCCAACAAGTCCACACCGACCCTCTGAAGAGTATCCCACTTAGACCCAACCCCCTATCCTTTCCCTGTAACCCTGCATTTCTCATGACTAACACATTTAATCTACAGCTCCCTGAACACTGGGCAATTTATCATGGCCAATTCACCTAGCCTGCACATCTTTGGACTGTGGAAGGAAACCCACACAGACACGGGGAGAATGTGCAAACTCCACACAGTCGCCCGAGGGTGGAATCGAACCCTAGTGCCTGGCGCTGTGAGGCAGCAGTGCTAACCACTTAGCCACCATACCACCCTAAGCCTACTGCACTTGGTATTCCCAGGTGGTCTCCCATCCAAGTACTAACCAGGCCTGAGCCTGCTTAACTTCCAAGATCATGCATTTTCAGACTCGTATGGCCGTAGGCAATGTTCTCAGTAATAACCAGCTACATTCCTTTTCTTCTCATGTAGGCTTTT